AAAGTATCTGGTTGTAACTTATTTCTTCTTCTTCTTCTTCTTCTTAGTAGTAGTAGTATTAGTAGAAGAATACTAATATTATTATGAAAATGTAATTGAAATATTCTGAAAAACACCAAAATCATAGTCACCAAATCCTAAAAAAAATGAAATCATTAAAATAAAATGGCCTTTATTAACAACTGAAAAGTTTTCGTCTTATTCGTTTCATTTCTACATTTGCTCTGTCACATAAATTTTTATTTTTATGTGTTGAATGACAGCTGTTTCTTCCTGGTGAATAAACACTTAGATGTTCCGATATTATCAGGGATTTCACCTAGGTATATTTTTTACCACGGATATTATATTCATGCTGTTTGAGTTTATCATTGATACGGGAAAAACCCGCAATAATTAATGTTTTCATATTTTATAAGTACTTATTTATTAAGTACAATGCTATTGCAAAATTGAGATGCATTTATTGGGAACTAAAAAATAATTGAAAAATTTATGGCGTTTGATTTGACAAATTTTAATATTTGAATGTGTGTGTGTGTGTAACGTTGGTCATTTGGGGAAATAATATCAAGGTGAAAACATTTCAGTACACTTCGTAGTAATTCTGATCATGCCAGTATTGTGAAGATGGAATGAAACCATATCTCATCTTTGGCTACGATTAAATTTGGATCCAGTATATATTATTGTCTTGTCATTACCTCTACTACAAAATTTCCACATACACTAAATATTTCTGTCGGTGGAGGCAACATGACGTCCAACTACTGAATCTAGCAATTTGTAATTCTAAAAATTAAACTGCTTTAACAAGGTTTAGCTATCAGTCTGTATGTTTTGGATTTACGAAAGTATTGTCAGTGGTCAGATAATCAGAAGAGAAATATTATCTGTATAATTCTGTCATTGCCAAAGGCAGGTATAAAATTTGTATAAAAAATAAAGTAATGGTTTCGTATCCACTGTCTATTCCTAGTTTCTTTTCCTTTCTATCAGCATTTAATAGATTTACTTGAAGTACAAACATGAATAATTAAAGAGAGAAGAAACTTGGAAGTGACAGTCATTGTTTAACTTTTTCTGAGAGCCACTTGTAAAACTATGAAAAAGAAAAGCCTTTCTCCAATTACTTACCTGACGAATGCTTCAGGGATTATCGACCGTAAGACAATGGCTGACGTGCTAGCAGGAGGTCCATTCCACACTGTGTGTCACTGGAATGCTAACGTATAATACTAACATTTCCTAACACACATATATATATTTGAACACACACACACACACGCATATATATATATATATATATATATATATATATATATATATATATATATATATATATATACGTTTTTTGTATGTGTAACAATTGAGGAGTAGTGTGCAAAATAATGATGACCCTCTCGGTGTCGTGCTAACTTAGTCCCGTTGACACGTACTGATATCGCTATTGAAGAGGGTTCGTATGTATAATACGCCACATATATCTTCAAGAACGCTTTGTTCATGTTTAAAAATTCATTTTAAACTTAAAAGATTACAATTAAAAAAAACAGGGGGAAAATAAATTAAAAAATATATCTGATGATACGTTGCTATTAGTAGGACGAGAAATAAGCAAACTGAAATTACAGATTGAATCTACGGACTGTCAATGATTACTAAGACCTTCCAAAGTTTACACAAAAAAAAAATATTGTGCTTTGGGAACTTTTGCAGTAAACATAATTTTGGTTGTAAATATGTAACATCTATGAGGATAATATATAGATATCTCTCCTTATGTACACTATTTACATTATTCGGACTATTTTACTCATTTTTGTCGTCATATTTATTACAACGTTTCGGCTGTTGTACGCTCCGGCCTTCTTCACGTGGTTGGAATGTCAAAATGAATCCTTTATTTCGCTCACTAGGGTAGACTGTTCTAGTTCCACGTGCCATCTTTAATGGATGTTATCAGTTATCTCCTGTCAATTCTCCTCTCCAAGTTCTCCACTGCCTTAACCGGGTATTGAACTCACACTCTTTGTGTTCTGTCACTGGATCTAACTAATGCCTTTAGCCATTGTGCCATGTGTCTGGTGAGCGAAATAAAGGGTTCAGTTCGACATTTCAACCACCTGAAGAAGGCCGGAGCGTACAACGGCCGAAACGTTGTAATAAATATGGCGTCAAAACAATGACAACAGTTCGAATAATGTAAACAGTGTACATAATACCTCATCTCAGAAATATAGACAGATACTCTCCTTAGGTGTTTATAAATTTTACACTGTCCAATATTAACGTTAACAACGAACTATTTTAAATTACAAATTGTACTTGGATTGGACGGAAATTATTTACAATACATATTACTTATAATACATTTCTTTTTGCCATTAATTTTGACGACACGTGTACACTAGTTGTTAAATAAATAGTTAACACAGAAAACGTATACTTTTAACCGAGTTTGAATTGCATCTGAGTTTGTTTAGATTTGCTTAACATTACACCAATGTACTAAATGCCATCGGGGAGGTGTCTTGTAGCGTGTAGTCATTCCTCTAACCTGTCAAAATGCAGCAGTTTCATGTGGCACCAATTCCACAAGTCGCCGGAAGACCTCTGGAGAGATGTCTCAATAATTGTTCAAATCTATCCGATATTACAGGTGTAAAAACTTACACGTGAATAAACATCTTAACTACGTCCCATAAGTACTCATCTGGATTGATGTCGAGGAAACATAGTGGTCGCACTATTCTTTAGTCATCTCCTGGATACTATCCAATGGAATCCTGAGAAACGACAAAGGAAATACTCCTACGGGAGGACAAATGGTCACAAAACAGTGTAATATATCGTTACTGGCCAATGGCGTCTTGCACAACCGGACACAGTCAATGCTGACTTACGGCCATATCAAGTTGAAACACCAGTTCTCATATAATCAGCTAAGTGAGGCAAAGTAGATCCTGGTCAGTGCTTAGATGAGTGACCGCTGGGGAATAACAGCTTCTGCAAGTAAGCTTGGATGTACGGTTGGTGTAATGCATAACGCCTCGGAATTGGAAATCGGAGAGCAGAGTTCCAATTTAAGTCGTGTTCGTTGGGTTCATTTGCACGAAAATAACCTTGGGAAAGGTATGAATTCATCACTTCCCCCAGCTATGGATTAATTAGTAAACCTTGTACCAGTAATTCATTATCATCTGTAAAGAATTGTTACAATGTAAAAATATTTCCTGGTTTTAAAAAAAACTGCAAAAAGTTGATAAGCTGTAAATAATAAATTTAGTAAGAAATTTTCCAAATCTTCTTTACGGGCAATGTGAAAACATATTCCTTCTAATGTTTTCTTGCTTGGATGAATTTTGATGAGTTGTAGTTCCTATCATATTTTTTATGTTTATGCTTAAGTAACTTGAGATATACGAATTTTTATATTAATAAATATTCTATAAATGTTATTAATCTACGGTCAAGTTTGAGAGTTGTCATTGTGCTCTCTTCTCACTGATCCAAGTTTGGTATGTCAAATACTTCTCCTGGGAAGATCATAATAACATTCATGATTTCTTTTTCTCTTGTATTGAAATCAAAATCGAATGGAGCAGGATAATTTCGAGATCATCTGTCACGAACAAATGTGTGGCCTCTCTCATAAAAAAAACAAACAAAAAAACTTGTTAAACTAATAGGTTAACCGTTAATCTACTGCAGATAAGCATTATTTACATTATTCCGACTATTGTACCCATCTTTGTCGCCATATTTATTACAACGTTTCGGCCGTTGTACGCTCCGGCTTTCTTCAGTTGATTGGAATGTCGAACTGAACCCTTTATTTCGCTCACTGTGATATACTTTTCTAGTTCCACATGCCATGTTTAATGGATGTCAGTTATCAGTTATCTCCTTTTAATTTTCCCCCTGAAAGTTCTCCACTGCCTTAACCGTGTATTGAACTCACACACTTTGGATCCTGTCACTGGATCTAGGACACATGGCACAGTGCATAAAGGCGTTGCAAAAATTTAAATGCAATGTAAATCGCTATCTATTGTCCTCTTGATTAATTTTTCCTCTTCCTTCTCATTATAAATGTTTCTGTTCCTAATTTTGCCACATCCTGTAACCCCTTGTGACTTAGTGGCTTTATTGCCTTGCATGGGGTGATATTGATTAAAAAAAAAACCACAAAATTTATCCAAGCAAGAAAACTTTACCAGAATTTTTTTTTTCTGATTTCATACTTGTCAGTCAAACCGATTTAGCGAATATCTCTCTGAATTACTAAGATGAGTAACTAACATTAATATGTTTATGTATTCGAACTCGTGATCCCATCTTGTTTGTTGAATATTTTAATATATTTTCTCATTTTCTAGGGATTACCAATCCTCTGTAGAGTAATGGATAGCGGCTCGGATTGAACAATGGGACAGCCGAGTTCGAATTTCAGTCGAATCCATTACGTTCACTTACGTGCTAATACCCTTGGAAAATGTATGAATCATATACTTCTCCTTCCAGCTATAGGTAAATAGCAGGACAGACCGGGTTCTATAGCCATGGATGGCAATTAGTCTACTGAAAAAAGAAACGGCAACCTGCTGCGGAAAAAATCTGCCTCGTCAGTCATGTATGGAAACATACATGGTCACCTAAGCGTGTATCACGCATGGCACATAACTGACTGAATATCAATAATCATACAAGATTGATTGATTGTTATTTACAGCTTATCAACCTTTTGCGGGTTATTTAAAGCCAGAAAATATTTTTAGATTGTAAGAATTTTATGGAAATAATTATGATTTACTGATACAAGTTCTACTAATTAACCCATTTATGGGAGCGGGGGGGAGAAGAGGTGAATTCTAACCTTTCTCAAGGGTATTTGTGCGCAAACAAACACAATGAACTCGACTTAAATTGGAACTTAGCTCACCGATTCCCAGTTCTGACTCGTTATCCATAACACCATATGTACATCCAACCTCACTACAGCTGTTTTTCTCAAGCAGTCGCCCATCTAAGTACTGACCAATCTCAACATTGCTTAACTTCGGTGATTATACGAGAACCAGTGTTTCAAAGTGATATAACTGTAAGTCAGCCATGCAAGAAGACATTGCATATCAGCTAAATTCTTTTAGTTAATCTATCCATTTTCTTCTGTTTTCCCACTGAACCAGAATAAACAACTTTCCCTTTCTATCCGAGAGAGTGAAATGTTTACTGAATACTTCTGCATCTATGGGTTAAATAGCAGAGTACAAAGGTTAAAATTGTCTCACTAGGTTTATGTGACAACCATTCTGGAGAAGGCAACAGGAACCTTCTCAATTCTCTTTCCCAAGAATGCATGTCAATTCTCTGATAATAAAGAAAAGGAATATGTGAAGATATATGAATTCCTACGTCCTGAAGGGTCATGAAATTAAGAACAAAACGAATACAACTTTCTAGACAGAATTTTTATTAACACGAATGGTTTAAATATATCCCCTTGTATTTAATATCCCACCCACGAGGAATATATGTGGCACAAGGCCGAGTTTAATGTGCGTTTCCCGAGCCCGTAGGCTCGGCCAAAAATATGCCCTTTGAACCCGCCTAGACGGGTTCAGGGCCTGTCTACCTCCCCGGACGAAACCCTGCCCTTCGGCAAAGCTTCGTCCGGGTTCCTCTCTGCCAAAGCAGAGAGTTCAACAGTCATGACCTGGTGCTCGTTACACCATTCATTCGCCTTAAATAATTTATTCCCCTTAAATAACGACACTATTTCGAATAGATCAAACTATAACAACTTTGTGTTATGAATTCCTCCACTCATTGTACATCTGATCTGGTCCTTATGTTATATATTTAGAGATTCTTGATAACGTCCAAACAACAATCTGCAATGTCATCTGACCTGACCTGGCATCTCGGTATTAGTCACTTTCCCACTTCTGTAACGTTAGTCCCTTGCGCTTTTCTATAAATATGTTCATGGTAATTATTCTGATGACCTTTCCCCTGTTGGGATCACGAGTTCACAAATTTAAGTACAAGATTACGAGACGCTTAATTTCCCTACTGAAAAGGTGAATTATAATAAGTTCTATGATAATAGTTTCTTCCCTCGCAGTTCTTGCTAGCAGAACCCTCTTCCGCTTGCTTCCTGATTTGTTTTCAACTACGATCTTCAAAAATCTAATTTAGATATCACTATTTTTTTTTTATTTGTTAGTAAACATTTCCTTGGTTCGATGATAGGTGAATATTGGTTGTTTATATTCCAGTCTAAGCATGTAATTAGTGTTATACCGGAACGTACCTATTCTATGGTAAATAGACTCTCCCACAGATAAGTAGTAGTAGTAGCAGTCGCCAGTTGGGCTCAGTGGAGTTGAGTGAGTCAGTCGATGTCGGACATTGAAGTATCAACCATCACAACTAGATTGCTGCGTCATTAACTATTATTTCAAGTTCCTAACGTTTTTTACGTCGGACCCTTTTAGGACCGAATTAGTAAAATACAAGCCTCCACTGTGAAATTACTCAACAACAATTAGTAAGTGAGTACTTTTTTTGGTGGGGAGGTCTAACCATTCTGAATGAGATGCAGTTAGCATATTCGTGGCTCTGCCTATAGGGCAGATGATATATACACGTCATATATACATCTATAAATCTCTGCTCTCTTAAATATGATATATACACATCATATATACATCAATAAATGTCATCTCCCTTATATATGGGGAAAATCTACTATCGTACATAAATATCTTGCAGATCTGATTTAATTTTTCATAAATCTTCAAAGATTGCATTTGGATGTTCAGCAGAATGAAAAACGGACTGAATACAAATACGAAATGGCGAATATAAATGTGTATATGGGCTACTAGTCTTTCAATCCATTGTTCTGTTAGAAAAACAATCAAGATTCGAGAATATAAAATATTTGAAATTATTAATTTGCTACAAGGAATAAATGGAAGACAGACACTCAGACAACACAGACAGACAGAATGAAAGTAATTATTCTAAAAGGTAGTAAATACGTGTTAATAATATTCAGTGCACATTAGTATGGTCAATGAGATAAGCAGTAACTGTAGTATAATGAAAAGAGTGAAAGTTAGTTTTGAATTTGTTCTTTATGAATATCTTACATTAGCCTGATCAGTGTAAATTCAGGAAACACAGGTTGTAAGTCTGATGCGTTAATCAAAGAACTTAAATCTCGGAGGCCTCGTTAAAAATATTTTTCTCTAAGAAAATTATTTGTCTATATTTTTTTTAGATGAGGTATTGTAACTATTTACACTATTTATTTGTTCTGGACTGTTGTCCTCATCTTTAAGAGTTGTCAGTTCAATAATTGCTCACAGGAGAGGAAACAAAAAAAAAACTTGGAGAGTTAAGCTACTAAAGGGAATTAACTGAAAACTGTGATATCCAGAAAAAAAAAAAAAAAAAAAAAACATGGCAAGAGGAAATATCTACTCCCGTGGACTAAATAAAAGGTTCGGTTCGAAATTCCACCTGAAGAAGGCCGGGGGTACAACGACCGAAGCGTCATGAATATGATAATAAAGATTAGGACAACGTAAATAGGATAATTATTACTGCCTAAAGAATGATATTTGTCTTTAATTAATTCACTCTAACCAAAGCCATAAGAGCCATTAATATGCAAGGTGATACTGGGAGTGAAAGAGAACAAAAAGATTTTAGAAGGAACCCGAAACTGAATCCTGAAATGGAACATTCGATAAACCTCTACCCTCTGTTCAAAAGATAGTGTAGAAGTGTGAACCGGACGATAGGCAAAACAAGGGAAAAGGCTCTATAAATGTTTGAAAGACCGGTTAGAAGTGTAAACCTGACGATAGGTGAAACAAAGGATATGCTTCTACTCCGTTTCAAAAGATTAAAGAGGAGTGTAAATAGGGTGATGGGTTAAAAGAGAGAATAAATATCTATCTCTGTTCAAAAGATTATGGAGGGGCATGAACCTGGCGATAGTTGAAGCAAGGGATAAACCTCTACTTTGTTCAAAAGACCAGTGTGGAATGTGAAACGGACGATGTGGGTAACAACAGATAAAACTCTACTGTTAAAAGATCGTGGGGAATGTGAATCGGGCGATAGGGGACAAAATCATCCAAGAAAAAATTGTAATCCCTATTCAATAAAGTTTAACTTCTCTGCTTTTATTACAGCATTCACAGTGAGAGTCACTAAGCATTAAATATCAAACAAAATTCATAGCATCAAAAATTTTACAAAGCTCATCAGAGTCTGGCCATGTGTAACGTAAGAGGAAACAAAATAATAGAATTGAGTGACCCTAGTTTTTAAATCGTTAGGGTTTGCTTGATTTAAAAGACAATTATTAAATTATCTTCTTATTTTGTATATTCTTCCTGATTTTCAGGTGAATTTGAATACAAATTGTCCAACGAACGAGAACTATCAAGTTTATAAGACATCATCAATGTAATTGTTCATAATGTAGTGACTATATGTATTTGTTTTTTGTTTTGTTACCAAATATCGTATTCTCGCACATCACTTTATGTTTTTAAAATATTAAAACTTCATGGGACAGTTTCAATTGCATTCACATGTTTATTTATGACCTGAATTTAGTATATTTGTCCCTAAAATTATAAAATGTTATAAATGTTGGATGATTTGTATGTATGGCCAATTATTCTAGTATTTTTCTAGTTGTTTCTACAGTTTAAGTGAATCAGTATGTCCAAATCTAAGAATCCCTATCTATCTATCTATCTATCTATCTATCTATCTATCTATCTATCTAAGCATTATCATCTCTCTCACTCTCTCTCTCTCTCTCTCTCTCTCTATATATATATATATATATATATATATATATATATATATATATAAGCAGGTTTTATATAGCTTTACACACACACACACACACATATATATATATATATCCATCTAAGTATGTCTATCTCTGTATCTGTCTCTTTCTTAATTAATCTAAGCATGACTATCTATCTATGCCTGTCTATATCTATCTATCTATCTATCTATCTATCTAAGCATGTCCATATGTATGTATCTATCTGTTTATCTATCTATTCATGTAAGCATGTCTATATCTATATCTGTATATGTACAGTGGCACGGAAAAGTTTACAACCCATTACAAAAATGTTTCCTAACTATTTCTAACATAGATTAATTAAACTTTTACTGCTAATAATACATATGTTGAAGCCTTTAGTCAAGCAATCAGATTTAAGAAAAAGTAATCAAAAATATCCCATGAAGAAAAATCAAAATTTAATAATGCAAAAGCTCATAATACATATATTAAATCATCTATTAATATTTCGTTGCGCAACCGTTCTTGCTTATTACAGCGCCTAGGTGTTTAGTCCCCTACGGATTTCTTGCATGTTTCTTGGCTAATATTTTTCCATTCTTCACGACAAAATTCCTTTAGTTCATGCAAGTTTTGCAGGTTCCTTCTATGTATTTTCAGTTAAAGCTCTCTCCATAAATTTTCAGTCGGATTGATTTCTAGAGATTGACTTGACCATTTTAGAATGTCTATTCTATTTGAACTTCACCATGATTTTGTAAGCTTTACAGTATATTTAGGATCGTTGTCTTGTTGAAAGCCCCAGGCTGATTACAAACCCAGCCAATGTGCACTCTGACGTGAATTTATCTCCACAATATCCCTATAATATTTTCCATTCATGCACCCTTCTATTATTTCCATGTTTCCTACACCTTGGACACTAAAGCAACCCCAGATCATTATTGATCCGCCTCCATATTTTACTGTTGGGATAATATTCTTCGGCGATTATTCAGTACCCTTCTTTCTCCAGAACTTTGCCACATCATTTCTGCCAAAATGTTCAATTTTCGTTTCGGCTAACCAAAGTACATTTTCCCAAAATTCTATAGGTTTGATACAATGCTCGTTTGTAAAATCCAGACTAGCAAGAACGTGTTTTCTTTTAAGAAGTGATTTTTTTTTCTTTGAATCCCCCAAAAATGTCATATCGACTAATTTTATCCGTACTCACTTTTATTCCGCTTACTTCTAGTCCCCCACCCCCCCGAAGTATTTTTTAAGTTTTTGACACGTTGCCTACTTTTCTTGCCAATAATCTTGTCGTGTGTTACATTAGCTTCCTAGGACAACCAAAAATTTTGGTGGGACGAATGGAATGGCGCGTTTTTCACTGACTCGATGACACATTTAACTGACTAGATATCTGTCTATAACCAAGTCCATTTGTATGGAGGTCAACAATTATTTTGCTTTTCTCCATTTTGTCAATGTTTAAAGATAGATTGACAGAAAAGAATGACGCAATACTTTTAATCGTTCCTGAAAGTAATAATAAAATTAATCTGGAACATTCTAAAATCAATCCCATCCTAATTTAGGACATTCTAGTAAAATTTGAACACTTTTATAAAAAAAAAAAAAAAGGTGTTGTAAATCTGATTGTTTGATGAATACCTAAATATATGTTCTACGAGCAGTAAACGTTTAATTAATGTAACTATATTAGAAATACATAAAGCCATATTTCGTAATGTGTTGTAATCTTTTGTGTGGCACTGTATATATATCTATATAAGCATGTCTCTATCTATCTATCTATCTATCTACCTACCTACCTACCTACCTACCTACCTACCTACCTATTTATTTATCTAAGCATGTCCATATCTATCTATCTATCTATCTATCTATCTATCTATCTATCTATCTAAATATTGGCAGTTCTATATATCTGTGTATGTATATGTATCTGTATATCTATGTACCTATCTTTCTCTCAATCAGTCTAAGTATGTCCATATCTATCTATCTATGTAAGCATGTCCTTATCTATCTCAACATGCACTTATCCATCTATCTAAGCATGTCCTCATCATCTATCTATCTATCTATCTATCTATCTATCTATCTATCTATGTCTGTTTATGTATTTATATATTTATGTATCTATCTATCTTTCAATTTATTTATGTAAGCATGTCCATATCTATCTATCTATCTATCTATCTATCTATCTATCTATCTATCTATCTATCTATCTATCTATCTATGTAAGCATGTCCATATCTATCTATGTAAGCATGTCCATATCTATCTATCTATCTATCTATCTATTTATTTATCTAAGCATGTCCCTATCTATCTATCTATCTATCTATCTATCTATGTAAGCATGTCCATATCTATCTATGTAAGCATGTCCATATCTATCTATATATCTATCTAAGCATGTCTGTGTATCTATTTATCTATGTAAATATTGCAAGGAGTCAAAACGGAGTAATTAATAGATATTTACCTGAAACCCTTTTAATGTTGAAACCCTGCATTTACAAATTACCGCTCGTCTGCCTGGGTGAAGTATTTGTGCAGGGCTCTTCATTTATTTTACTTTCATTCTGCTTAATCAGTCGTAATGTCGCAATGTTCAGTGAATGTGAAAGACATTAAATTAATTGTAGATTTGATTGGAAGAAATAACATTGCGCTCATGCCTTTAGTGTTAAGGTGAAATAAAATAGCAATCACAGTCATGTGATTATTCGTTTTATTTATTACTCTCTCACAGAAGTCATTAGGATAACATAGCTTCAAAGACAGACTCTCTTAAATGCAAATGTACGCGTGTGTATGTACATTCATCAAGAAATGAATACCAGAGGCAAATGTTTCAACTCACACCCGCATGCTTTATTCACGAAGAAAAGATAAAAATGAATCATTCATTGCTTTACATTATTTAAATATCCTCTTTCATATGATGCTGGTATCAAATCAAAGTTTGATTATCTCTTGAGATTTTTATTTTTATATCTTGCAAGTTCCACCATCGATTTAAGCATGTTTATTTGCAAACTCTGAAAAGAAAGATTTTTGTCTTTCTCAATCATGTTTTGTCATCAAATATCTTTGAATGTTTTTTCAATTGCAATTCAGCTTTACAGAGTTAATAAAGACAAAAAGGCAAATCCATAGAAGATCATTCAAAAGCTTTATATAAGGTAATTATTTTATACTGACAGCAGAAATACATTAGTTTCATATCTGGGCAAATTCACGTTTAATTATCGTGTAAAATAGTGTTTGTTATTTGCTTGGAAATATATTTTTAATTGGCTCTTTCTTTTACTTGTTTCTTTATTCCGCGGGCTTTCATAAACACTCATTGATATTGAATCTACTTATACAGTCGTTATAAATAATAATTATACAGTCTACATGCATAATGTGTGTGATCAAATTCATAACAGATTTCCTTATTTTTAACAAAATAATATAATTTGTCACTTAGCTGTACCTCTACTCCAGAGTTTCGTATACGAACATTTGTGCAAGTGTTCGGTCCACTCGTCAGAAGATATCAGCAAAAATTTTTCCAGACTAGTAATAACCACAAACTCCATAAACAGAAGTAGATCAGCTGAAAAATATATTTGTTCTCAGGAATTCTAATTTGAACGTAGTGGAAATTGATAGCAGTATTATTGCGCGACAAATATGCGATGTCAGACAGTAAATATGTTCCTCTAATTTTAAGCACAACCACATAAGATCCTTTGGTAAATAATAATAATAATAATAATAATAATAATAATAATAATTGCTGCCTTAAAGCAGTGCATCCCAAACCGGAAGTACAAACATAATGTTCTCAAACTTAACAACCATATACGCCTTGCCACGTATATGGAGAACATCCGTGAACAAATGGCTACATAATATCTGGGCGTGGAGGCTAGCATAAACAGAATCCTTGTAACGGCATGATAGCGCTGCTCAGTGTATATGCTAGTCAATATGCCGTGCATTTAACCTACTTTGCAAAGAGAATTGTTGGAAACATAAGCCACTGCAAGTTGTACAGAATGAAGAGATTACCATCTCCTGAACTTTTAGTGTTCAGATTGACAGGAAAATCCAGACATATTGACCAGACATAGGTGTAAAAAATAAATCATGTTGAAAAATTTCTCTTCTGCTAGATCCTCCCGTTTCAGCAAACAGAAATACATTTTAGAAAACGTTTCAGAAATAAATACAATGGACCTCGGTTACTGTCTGTGAGAAAAAGAGCATAATGACTCAATTCACTCCGCCAGAAATTTGGAAACAACATGCTGTACTGCTTGGCATTCGCTCCGAAAGCGCCAGTAGGAACATTTCAGAGTGTTCTGGTGTTAATCTAAGGACAGTGCAGAGAATTCGGAAACAGTTGGATAAGTCTAATGGTGATTACGAAGATGTTTGGAGTGATGGCGACGTTATGCTTCCAATCATTTTCACACAGAGACCTGCCTTGTGGAGGTAGTGCTGCACTGGGTCAAGAGGGTGGCTGCTAGAAGACCCTATGTCTGACAACAGAACTCTGCACCATGCCACACAAGCAGGAGAACCCAGACATAGCTCTCAGACAATTTCTGTGACCCCACAACCTTATCCATCTGGCAACCTCACTCAACCAGATTGCAACATCCTTGATTATTATGTTTGGGACGCAGTTGAGTGAGAGACCAACAAAGCTCCTTGTAACACCAAAGGTGAACTAAAGGCAAGAATTATGGCAGCATTCACCAACTTAAACAATGAGACAGTCCAGAGGATTCAAGAGATTCTGAAGGCGTTTGGAGGTCGTGGTTGAGGCCAATGGCGATTTTATTGAATAGATCTAGATTTTGGTATTTGAAGATATTTTTTGCGTAATTTTGGTAAATATATCTGTTAAAATGAGATGTCAGTGTTGTTTTCATTTTTGCGTAATTTAGACGACTATTTATCCATCGCATCCTGTATGTGCCGTGTCAACGTGGGTAATTATGACAATCCACAATTTGTTGTTCTTTATAGCTCTTACAACATTTTGTGTGTTTGTTATCTCCCCTGAAGCCTGCTTTGTCATCCATTTACACAAGCTTGTTAGGTAGGTTATGCACTGATTTCCCTTTTTCCTCTTTCTGTCAATATGTAACGTCAGATATTGCACTCTGTGTCCACATTGCTTATATTTAACATCACCAATCCACACAACTACATTCAGTAACACTCTACCTTTAGTGGCTCTTGGGCATTGTATTTTTTTAACATTTAGTAAAAAAGCAGTGTTTGATTTGATATTAGATTCTTTTATTTTGAGAAGCAAATATATTTGTTTGTGATATCTTATCCAAAAATATTTTGATGATTTTACAACCGATTTAGCGTCAAAAGTACCAAATAAGAAAGAAACGAAATCGTTTACTCAAATAAAAAAAATATGAATCGTGTGTTAATTTAAAATAAAAGTAAGGCGACTGTTGTAAAGTAATGGTTAACAAGCTATTCAGGTAAAGTAATGGTTAACAAGCTATTCAGGTAGATCATTTCATTTTTAGAGAGTTAGATCTTCCTCGGATGCATGCCCATCAAAGTTTTGTGCCAAGGTTAAACAAATATTGACTTAAGAGTTACAACCTTAAAGTAATGGTTAACAAGCTAATCTGTTAAACGCTTTCTATAACGTTGAATGTTCACGCCTCACTCCGTGTATGACGGTTAGAAACAACTTAGTGAAGTAATTATCAATTTGAAATTCCTGCGAGATAGCAAGTCCCACAAATTATAGATACAAACAAATTGGCATTTGTTTGTTTGACGGCATATCAACTCATAATGGATCATTTAATTCTGAATTTTAATTTTCTTATTAAGTGCCCTAGAAATTTCACCTTTCTTTTTCTGATGTCAAGTATAAATGTCTTTGTCTAACTTTTGGATATAAGACCTAAACGGCGCGAAGTTTGTTAGGGCTGCAAGAACTTTGAAGCATCGATACACATTTCACACCCAGATTCGACAGACTGGCTAAGACCGCACGCGACAGGATGCTAAGTCAACGAGTGAGTATGCGTCCCCTTGAAGTTAATATTTCCGGTACCCTAAGACACAATACTACCACGTCTTTCCCTATTGTGTAATAAAACGAATAAGAAAAATACAATCTAATAAGTGGCGTTGGGGTCCGAGGTGCTGAATCTAGTGACGACACGGAACGAACGCAGGTCTTGTTTGGTAAGTCTAAAGGTCACATATACAAAAAAAAACAAAAAAAAAACAGAATTATACTTTAAGAATGGAAATAACATCATAATTAAATGTGAAAAGCTGGCGAAGAAAAAGGAGTAAATATCCAACAAAGTATAGACAGTAATACCCAGTAAATTAGGCAAATATATATATATATATATAATATATATATATATATATATATATATATATATATATATATATATATAATGAACAAATAGGAGACTTTTAGGAATTTAAGACGCTTCACTTTTATTTAGTTTCACCCAAAAACCTTTTAATGAAGCTTAAAAAACAACGAAATATGTTAAATTTATAAACCTTTCATACTTATTCCTTACTATTCTGTCGGATTCTATTCCATATTTGATCCCAATTCGTTATTTTTAGTTGATACTTATATTCAGTTGGTTACCCCGTTTATTTATTAAACAGTATACTTATTTATTTTGGTCTTGTTTTCACCGGACATCGTGCCTCACTGGTCATTTCACATATGATTCGAAATAAACCCATCAGAAAATCAAAGACTCTATTTTTCTTTCTTTCTTTCTTTCTTTCTTTCTTTCTATACTCCTGTCCTTTTTCTTTTTCGTATTTTCATTCTTGCAATTTCCCCACTAAATCCTTTTTCTTTTTTTCTTTCTTTCTTTTCTTTTTTCTTTTTTTTTTTTTTTTTTAA